AATAAAATTAATATTTTAAAAAATTATTTTTTAATTTTACTAACGATAACATTATTATTAGTCGGTATAACCATGCACCTCTTCCCCACCTCTCTTTTTCTTTTATGTCTCGATGTCACATTTTTGAAAACATAAAAGCACCAAAGTTTAATGCTTTAATAATTGACATGCACCGCCACCAACATTGTCACCTATCCCTTCATACCATCATTTCCACCCATCACAGGCCACCATTTTTCAATCATTAAACATACAAAGTTAAGGATAAATTTTATGAGTGGTCCTCATTCTCTATCGTTAAAGGTATTAGCAGCCTTATTAAGTTGGCCATGTACATTAAATATCTTAACTCATACAAAAGTTTGAAATCTTTATTAAGGTAGTTGTAATATTGCTTTTTTTTCTAAAATTCTCCTTTGCTTTTTTTTTTTTTTTTGGAATGTTAAGTAATTAAATCTCACACCTTTATGTCTAGCATGAAAAGTTCTTTTATAAGGATGAGATGATCATTTAATTACAAGAACATTCTCAAAATTCTCCCTTGTTAAAAAAAAAAAATAAAGAATGTTTTTATTTTATTTTATTTTTAAATTATATAATAAAATTTATTATTTATTATTTTTTTAATTTTCTACTCACGTTATTCAAATTGAATTTAAAATAATTTATTTTTATTAAAAAAATTACCATTAAATTATTTAATTCATTAGCTTAAACATGACCCATTTTTGTCTCTAATCTTAAATCCAATCAATTTCAACACAATCATTGACGTGCATATACAAGAAAGGAGTGGTCTATGAATCGCATCTTTGTTCGGTAAGATTTTGTTGATAGCAAAAGATCATTAATTTGGAGTAATAACAAAATTAATCACGAGAGCAAACGAAATGGGGATTTTCATATGGTTAAATGTTAAATTTGGTCCCTTAACTTTAAGAAATGCACATTTTTTATCCCTCAACAATTTTTTGCACTTTTTTGATCCCTCAACTCTAAGAAATGCACACTGTTAGTCCTTCTGTTAATTTGGACCGTTAACTCCGCCCACGTGGCATTTTTTATATTTTTTTTGATGATGTGGAGGGTAAAATTTTAAAAAGTGATGATATGGATAAAATGTTTTGCCACGTAATGTTACTGTCACTGAAAAAAGACAAATCTATTCAAATGGGGCCCACATCACCAATCTCTTGGCGACTTGTACTCTGAGGTTTCATTCATCTTCTCGTTCGTTGCCTCTTACCCATTGTAGAAGAATCTCACTCCAATAAGCTTTTTATTACATGAACTCGATCCAAAATCCTTCGTCGTCATGCACTGCCCTTTCCACTTTGCAGGAATCGAACCCAAATCCCGGTCATTAAAACTCTGCCACTCAAGCCATATCTCGGTATCAAAAAACTCAATCACAAGATCGGACCCAAAATCAGATTCCTTGAAGGTTTTTTCATGACATCCTACTGAATCAAAAAGCTCAATCTCAAGGGTTTGGCATCCTACTGAACCATAACAATGAAGGTTTTTTCATCAGTCTGTGAAGCAGAAGAATCGAACCCAAAATCAGATTCCTTGAAGGTTTTTTCATTACATCCTACTGAATCAAAAAGCTCAATCTCAAGGGTTTGGCATCCTACTGAACCATGACAATGAAGGTTTTTTCATCAGCCTGTGAAGCAGAAGAATCGAACCCGAGCTGGGTTCGGTGGAACCCAGTTGCTGGGTTTGGTGGAAGAAGAGGAAGAAGAGAAAGAAAGAAAGAAAAAGAAAAAAGAAAGAAAGAAGATGGATCGAAAGAGGGGAAGAAGATGTATCAAGAAAGGAGACAGGGGTATTAAGGTAAATTTATAATTTTTTAATTTTTTTATTAAGACAAATTTAGTTTATGAGGTGGCGTTGACACGTCATAAAAAAAAAATTCAGATCAACACTTTTTAAAGTTATTTTTGTCATGTCATCAAAAAAATATAAAAAATGCAATGTAGCGGAGTTAACGGTCAAAATTAACAGAAGGACTAACAGTGTGCATTTTTTAGAGTTGAGGGATCAAAAAAGTGCAAAAAATTATTGAGGGACCAAAAATGTGCAACTCACTAAAGTTGAGGGACCAAATTTAGCATTTAACTTTTTCATATTGATTTTTGCATAAAAAAAGAAAGAAAGAAAAAATGTATGTAAAAAGATTTAAATATTATTAATAACTTAATACACATGAATAATTTATAAAAATATTTAAATAATTTTACAGATATTTTTATAACTTCATAAACACAATTCTATATACTAAAACTTAATTATATAATATAGATTGTCAAATTGATGACAAGATTCTCCACTAAAAAAATCGATTATGTCCAACTTAAAATTTTTAATTTATAGCGATATGATTTTATTAGTTAAGATATACTAATTAAGAATTAAAATACTCAGTACATAATTGACAATCCAAAGCAAATAAACAAAGTGCTAAAAAAGGAAGACGATGATGATGAAGGAATAGAGAAAAGAAGCATGCGGGCATTATATTGTTAATTCCTTCATGAGTTTTGAGTTTCAGGACTACTCATCATGCATCTGCATCATGTGAGTGTGAAAGCTCCTTTAACCATTCATATGTTCTCCGCCGTGACAAAGCCTGCTTTCCCTTGTGCTTTTCACTTTCTTTCGTTTTCTTTTTCACTTTCACCTCCAGAAAAGGTTTCTCTTCCTCCTCGTTCTTGCTGCTTTTTTTGACGACGATGTTGTTCGGCACCGTTGTCACTGCGCCGACTGAACACTGCTTGCACCCACTGAAGAACCCACGTGGTTGGTTCGAATTCTTTATCTTAACGTCGGAGCTGCTGTTGCTACTGCTGCAACTGCTATTACGGCTGACGGGGGTTCTCGTCTGTTTAGTTTGGCTATTGCGGTGTTTGAGGTCTTGAAATTCGATTTCTGGAGGACGAACCAAACCTGCTCTAAAAAAATCCCACACCGGTAATCTCTGAGTTCTACTACTGACATTTCTCGGTTGAGATTTGGAGACTGTAATCTGGGGTTCGGGACTCGGGTGCGGATGAAAGTTGTTGCTGATCCTGGATGGGTTGGAATTGGAATTTCTGGTGATATTAGTAATAGAACTCCTACTACTCGATGAAATGTGGCTTCCAGAACTACTGCTTCTGCTACTAAGATTCGTGAGCCTACTTACCGACCCATGGTCCATGGACTCAGACCTGGATATGGACTGCCCTGGGTTCCGGCTGTCGTATTGGAACCCGGTGAACCCACTGTCAGAACTAAATGAGAGACGTAGAGGTAGAATTTGGCCTTTGAAGAAAACCTCATCCGCGGCACACATCTCTGCCGAAGGAGTCCCACCCCATGAGCCGAAATCGAAATCTTCCTCTGTTTTGATTATATCTTTGTTCTCCGTGGAACATTGCTTCTCATCCACGATGAAATTGACTGGTAAATCACACAGCGACAATGCTTCTACGTCAACGTCTTCATCTTCCTCCTCTTCTGCCTCAGACCTTGAGCACTCTCGTCTCTCTTCATCGTCATGTGTGAAAACCAGCTTCATGGCTAGGAATGTGAAAACCACAAAAGGCTTAATAGTGTATCCAAATACAAATTGGGGTGTGTGAGTGGGATCTACATGAGGAGAAGAAACCCCTGAATTGGAAAACAAAACATTTGTGTGTTACTTGTTTGGGAATGAGAGATGGGGTTGGCCTGCCTTAGGAAAGCCAATATTTATGCACATTCAATTTCTTTTTCAGTACTGTTGTGTAGGACATGGGGGTGGTCATTTCGGGGTAAAAAAGGCATGTCTGGTTTGACAGTATTAACTAACAATATCAACTTCGGAGATTTTCATTTTTGGCTTTAAACTTTAAAGATAAAAATGGGAGAATGTGGAAGAAAATTTGGATGGGATACCCGGATATGTTAAAAGATAGTTAGGTGAGGAATTACATCATCTGATTGATTGATTTTAGAGGCATGTCTTTGTCGATTAAACTGCTTAAGCATTGCTGCTTTTGTATTCTTTTTTTCTATTGCTTTCAAAAATTGTCATCACTGATTTTTTTTTTAGACAAAAATTTTATTGATATGAAGGTTGTTTAGAAAACAGATGATTCCTCCTCTCATCCATAGCCATTCATCTCAAAATGGAAGATATTAGCGAAGAGTTATGTGTTTTGTAATTTAAATTGTTTTACAATTTAAAAATGATTTAAATTGTATTAAATTATAAAATAAAAATTATTATATTAAATTAAGTTATAAAACAAAAATCGTTGTATAAAATACAACCACCGATATTGAAAAGTTCATATCTCATCTAATTCCTTAAGTTATGGAGTACAATATGGTTCCAATTACACAATAATTTATTGTCAACGCAAAATCTCTCTTAACTAAATTCTTTTTTGCTGACTTCTACATTAGCAAGCATGGCTGCCTTTTTTTTTTTTTTTTTTTGAATTTGAATTTGAATTTGAATTTGAGTAAACATGACTTTTCTTTCACATAAATCACATTTACAGACCATAGCAATCACCTGAAAGATGGATCCATTAGCTCCGTTTTGGGCCTTGCCCTCGCTATGCTTCATTAAAGGCCCAAAACAAGAAAATGCCCCGCAGAACAAAATAGCATTTTTTTTTTTTTTTAAATAAGCAACAAAATAACATCCATGATATGAATTTTCTTCTATTCATAACAATATATATAAACTAGAAGTTTACGTCCCTTTTTATTAAAAGAAAAAGAAAGAAAAATACAGATTTAGGGGACTCCTTGACGGTTAATGGCATCAGTGGAAGAAAATTCTCGCTCGGAGGAAAGAGAGGCGCCGGAGAGAGTGGGGGCGTCGGTGGAGCCAGCTGCACCGTGGCCAGGCTTGGGTTCTTGATGGCCTTCAGTCCCATATCCTTGACGCTTGTAATCCTCCAAATCTTTGGGCTTCAGCTAAGGGCTGTCCTTCATCGGCAGTCCCTCTAAGGTTTCCTTCTTCTCTTCATTTCTTTCTGGCTTCTTCTCGTCATTCTGCTTCTCCATTTTTCCTTGAACTCGAAGTAATCTGATGCATGGCAGCATGTTTATGCAGGATTTTTGTCTCTGTTATCTTGCCACGTGTTGTATACGTGGCTGCTTGTACGGAGTGAGACTTCCACGTGCTGATCAAATGCACAAGATACTCTTAAATAATTATATTATTATCGTTTATTTTGCAGCTTTCCAACAAATGCGGGGATAGCTCAGTTGGGAGAGCGTCAGACTGAAGATCTGAAGGTCGCGTGTTCGATCCACGCTCACCGCATGTTATTTTTTCGGGGTTTCAACATGCACAGCTTAATGGGCTGGGCTGAAAATTTTGGACAACCTCTACGTCATTTAATCAAGTACCAGCCCATCACTGTTATAGGCTGAAACATTTGGACAACTTAATACGCCATTTTTGCTATCGATTCAATCCAATGAGAAAATACACAAATCCAAAGTATATATTATAAAGTTTCAATCTTACATTCTTCAACAATCCACTAGCTTCATAAATCTTATCTATCACAACGATACAGAGAAAAAGAAACCAACCGAAACCAAGGTAGTCAATACTATAATGATATTCGTATTGATTTTATCACTAAAACAATACATATTAGATATTTTCGTATACAGTTTCGGATTTACTACGGAAACTAGCCTAACTTAGCCTAGCCTAGCAATAATTAAACAAGGAAAAAGTGTTGTGTGCAGTTCGATTAACAATGACTTTTTGGATGGAGTTGGGTCTTTGGAATCTTCCCACAACCAACACAACTTAATTGAATAATAATTATTATATAGCTTAATACAACTTGAACAATAAAATAGGCTCCATTAAGTAATTGCATCACCCTTACGCTGTTCCCTTTCCTCACCTCATCAAGTCCAGCTAATCGCAATGGGACTGCCCACAATGTGCTTCCCATCAGACCACTCCAAACGACCAAAACCATTGGTACTGCTCGGCTGTAAACTCACAGTCAACGTCACCGTATACGATTTCTTTTCATTCACTCCACTGAAACTTAACGTCTCCGGCTGAACTGATATCTGAACTCCTGCAATCTGGGGTGAAACTGAAACCTTGTACGTTCCTGGAGATCCAACGTTTGTCAGAGTTCGCGTGTGCTTGAATACGCTAGTGCTACCTGTCTGTGTCGTATCGAAATTGACAGCGAAAGATGGGTAGTTGAGATCGGTGACACTGTACTTCTTTCCAACTTCGCAAGTGAATTTTCTTCTCGCCAGTGACGTGATTTGGGATTCTGTGTAGTTTAGTGCGCAGAGGAAGCCCAGGTAATCATCGGCCGTTAAATCGTAGACGAGTCCTGGGTCAAGGGCTGATACGGGATTCACGTGGCCTGCTCCGTGATCGAACGGTGTGGATGGTTTTCCGGTGGCGCTGTCTTGCAATTTCTCTTTGTTTTTGTACTGTGTGTAGGCGGTGGTCATGAGGGCGGACCTGATGGCGGCGGGGCTCCATTCTGGATGGGCGGCCTTGAGCAATGCCGCTAGTCCGCTAACGTGTGGGCAAGACATGGAGGTGCCTGAAATGATGTTGAATTCCACGCGCCGGGTGTCCATTGCCAATCCTGAAGGACCCACTGCTCCGGACCATCCCGCTAAGATGTTGACTCCTGGTGCAATCAGGTCCGGTTTCAAAATCCCTGGCGTGATGGAGTTTGGTCCTCTCGAACTGAACGCAGCCACCACGGGCGACGGCTCAACACCCACCTTGGTGCCTTCGAAGATAATTGTGGCGGTTGGGTTAGGATCGGAAAAGAGGTAACTTTTTATGGTATCACCGTTCTTTTGACCTACTGCCGTTGCCGGCAATAAGTGGGCATCGGCTACCAGCTCTTCGCCGTTTGCGGCGGTATTGGACAAAACCATCCCCACACCGCCGGCAGATTTAACGGTGGTCCCTTTTTGCACTCTAGAGTTTGATCCTCTGTCACATAGCACTATTTTCCCGGCGACTTTTTCCGGAATCAAAGTGCCCATCATACACAAATTCCCATTTGTAGCATTACTAGCATTCCCGGCGTAAACAAACGGCAGGAATTTCCCCGGCAAAGAAGGGCCACTGTAAAGTGAAACGCCGGAATAGTTTTTCCCATTTCCGAGGCCGACGTAGGCAGGGAAATCACGATCCAATGTGCCTGCACCGACGGTAGTGATCCAGGGAGCCACGTTTGATAAACTGGACGATCTTGGGCCAGAATTCCCGGCCGAGCAAGAGATTAGGAGGCCCTTCTCCATGGCGGCAAAAGCTCCAATTGCAACGCTGTCTCTGGAATAATCAGACATTCCGCCGCCGAGGGACATGGAGAGAACATTAACGTTGTCCTCAACCGCCTTGTCCATTGCCGCCAAGATATCGGAACTAAAGCAGCCACGAAGCCAACATACCTTGTACACAGCAACTCTGGCTTTCGTGGCCATTCCACGCGCCGTCCCTGCTGCATACCCAAATAAGTTGGCTCCTTCCACCACCGACCCTGCAGCGGTGGAGGAAGTGTGAGTACCGTGGCCGTCATCGTCTCGAGGAGACTTCGACTCCTTGGACTCATCGATCGGACCCAATGTGGCTTCATAACCTCTGGCAAAGTACCTTGCACCGATCAATTTCCGATTACAATTCGATGAACTAAAATTGGTACCAGATTCACACTCGCCTTTCCAGGTACTGGGCACGGGTCCAAGTCCGGTGTCGAGGAAGCTCTTGCTTTCCGGCCAAACACCGGTATCCAACACACCAATAATCACTTCACTCGCCGATTCGGACTCAGGAAACAAATCAGCGTTTTTATCGAGTCCCAAAAACTCAGGCGTCCGAGTCGTGTGCAACTCGTATCGTAACTCAGGCAAAACAGAGAGGATCCCTGCTTGGTTCTCGAGTTGTTCAGCTTCCTCCGGCGTCAACTGCGTGGAGAAACCGTGAATCACTTGCTCGTACGTGTAGAGCATTTCCGCCGATTCCGATACGGATTTAAGAGACGAGGTATACCAGTGAGTATGGTGCTCGAAACTTGCAGGCATCTCAGATTTGGACATGTGTACTATGTAAGTTTTCCTCAGGATCTTCTCCCGGGACACCGCCATGGACACGTGGCAAAGACCCAGATGAAGAACAACAACAACAACAACAAAAGCAAGACAAAACCCCTTCATTTCCGAATCTGTTTTGAGTACAGAAAACAGGGAGATGAAGAAGAAAGCTTGGATAAACCTCTGGTTTTATACAGATATATGCTATTATAGATCGTGAATTATGTCAGAAGCAAAGAAGCCAAATTATGCAAAAGCAAGGGGAACCGCGAAAGTGTGGGTAGGGACGGTGGTGCTGGTGGTTGTCTGCTTCAATAAATGATTGCGTTTAGAAAATGAGGGGGATTGGGGGGAAATTGGAAATAGATGAAAAAAAGAAGTCCTCCTGTTTACAGGGTCGGGGATGAAGGAAATCTAAAGCTGTTGCCTGTTGTCCATGTTTTCAGGCTTTTATCCATCTTCCGGAGACCATTAATTTTCCCTTTTCCTTTCTCTATGTTAAAGACCACCACACCTTAACCAAAGTGGAGGAACTCCCCCTTTTTCAGTTTCGTCCCTTGCCAATAATTAGTAAAGACCAAAGAAAGAGAAGAGAAAAAAAAAAAGATCTTGAGATTCTTGACACTAAAATTATCAAAATATATATTAGTGATTTAAATAATAGTAATATGGTATATAAGTTACTTGGATTAAAGTTTAATTTGACTGTACTTGCCTGTAGCTGGGGAGTTGGTTGGATAAACGTTTAGTTTGATAGTGTAAGTATGTAATTGTAGATATAGATTTTTTTATCCTTTAACATTTAGAAAATATATTTAATATTTATTTTAATTAAAGTTTTATTTATTTTAAAATAATAAAAAAACATAAAATTTAAAAATTAAAGTGTTAAAAAGTATTTTTAAATGAAACTTAAAAAATAAAAAATAGTTATATTTTATTGTATAATTAAAGATAAAAACAATAAAAATATCAAATGTATAATTTTATATTATGCAAAAAAGAAAAAGAAAAAAAAAGCTGCTAATAAGTTCTCAAACTTTCTCATCATTATCAATTGAATATTTAG